AGGGAAAGTAACTTAAGAAAAAATGTATTATTATATTCTATGTACAATTATTAAGAATGCAGCTATTGTCACAACTAAGTGGGTAACTTGTTCATCTTCATTTGCTGTAGGTTTTGCTGGTACACCAGGCTATCTTTCACCAGAGGTGTTACGAAAAGATCCCTATGGGAAACCAGTAGATATGTGGGCATGTGGTAAGGAACTACTTTGAAGAACTGTTTTTAGCTTAATTTTAAAACACCTTGTGGAACTGAGAGAGAGATTCCTAACTGCATTTTATCAAATGTTAGATACAATCCTCTATTTAATGTATTTCAGTATTAATTCAATAATGTCATCTGCTTCCACATTAATCTTTTCAATAGTTGTTTATTATTTGAATGTTACAGTGTTCTTGGCATGCCTGCACGATTTGCATTACTGTGTCAGGGAACACACCTGAAGCACAAATACAAATATAGTTGAAAATGCTATAATTCATACTTCAAGTTGGGTCTTAATCATGTTTCATTATCAGTCTGAAAACTGATAATGATTTTAACTACCATGTTATCTGACCTTTCTCTGGCTGCAGGTGCTGCTGTAGGCAAGGATGCATCAATGGTTGTAAATGTAAGAAATACTAAGAAAAATTGCTTACACACAGCCTTGATGAGCTATTATAACATTTATTTATATATGGTGATTTACTGAAGAGTGTAAATCTACATATCTAGTTAACAAGAACTTTCCAGCCACCATTTCCTGTTACACAGCTCCCCTAAATTCTGTTCAGAGATGACCATCTGATGAACTCTGTCTCTTCTTCACCCAAGAACTTTGTTTACAGTGTTTATTTCCCCAAAAGCAGGGATTTTACTATTGGGTCATTTGTTTTGTAGTACCTTAAAGTTATAGCTTGGGTTCATATACCTGGAGCTAGTTTATAGAAATGGCTCAATTAATGCTGATCTCGGCTTTCTGCAGGTGTCATTCTTTATATTCTCCTGGTGGGATATCCTCCTTTCTGGGATGAAGACCAGCATAGACTGTACCAGCAGATCAAAGCTGGTGCATATGACGTATGTATCCCATTGATCATTTGCTCTCAGAACTGCTTATAGTTACAGCTTTCAGTAGGAGTTTGCTAAAGTAAGAAGAGACTTAAAACTAAGAAAGAATTAGGTTCCCAATGCTTCTACTATCAATCAGCTTCATGATCCACTGGTTTTGCACCTATAAATACCATTTGGGCAGTATTTTGTTGTGTTCACACAGTGCTTGTGTTCAGATAATATACTTCCATGCAGTATATTGCTAATGCCTGTTTTACAACAGGGCTTGTTTGGGTGGGGTTGGAATAATATTAAGAAAGCTCAGTGTTTCCCTGTTCTACTGTTTGCTTTTATTGATTTTGCACTTCAGTTACATTGTACTTGCTGTTGATTCATGTACAAATTTGTATATGTGTAATGGAACATTTAAGTGTAATATGAGCCTTACAGATACTGGTACAGCCTAGAGTAATTTTATCAAATTGATTTACGGCTCAAAACCTGTGACTCTGGCAGTTAGTTGAATACAAAGTCCTTTAAGAATGATGGCTACTTTTTCATGTTGACTCTGTTCACATTTTGGTATCTTCAGTAATATTTTTAAATTGACAAAAGTTTACATTCTTCAGGGTGGCTTATCATTGCCAACAAACCAAATGACAATTTCTTGCCAATTGTCTTTTATAAAATCTTCAGGTGCCCAGAGATGCCTACAGGCCCCATTCTGCAAACACAGATGGAAGGAGCAGTCCCATCTTGTGTTGGATACCTCCCAGTAATAAGCAGTGTTGCCATTCAGTAGGGTGACCAGATGTCTGGGACATTCCTGGATTTCAGAGGCCAGACCCCAGTGGCTGTTGGCAGCCCTGACCTTGCTGACTTGGGAGAGGGTGGGGGATGGGGGACAGTGTCATGGATTTCCTGGGTGATGTCCTGGATTTCCAGGATTTCCATATGGTCAGCCTACAATTGGTGAACATTTGAAGGATTGGCCCAGTAGGTTTGGAGACATTATAGACGTTGCAAAAGCACTTTTATTGTAAGCTTAGTGGGCTCAGTACTGACTACTCAATACTAACTGACTGAAGCTCAAAGACTGAGCTATTTAAGGATTGAATGGGTCAAATTATTATTAAAAGGATCAAAATTATTACTGTTGAAATTACTATGGCATACACAGGCTTTTTTTTAAATCACTCATTTGAATCCAACCCTGCCTGGAAATGACTGAAAATGATTGTCAGCTGGTTGACTTCTAGTGGAAATGAAGACGTTATGATCTCAGTCTGTTTCTTTGTGGACAAGTATCTATACAGAAACAAATTCATGTCAGATAATTATGGTTTCAGCTAAGGAAACAAGGATTGAGTAAGCACAAAGTTTGCAATATGCATCCATAAAACTGATCCCATTGCCTTGTGATAACTCTCTGAATGAGTACTGTTTCTTGTATATTTATCAACAGTTTTCATTAGCTCTAAATTTGCCCATCTTAAGAATGAAACAATACAAGGATAAATGCTTGAGTTTATGCATACTCTTTAAAACATTTCACAGCATACTTAAATTCTATTTCACTGGAACTTGAGTATGAGCTTACAGTTAAGTGCATGCTTAAGTTTTTTGCTGAACAGGAATGGACATAAGTACATGATTAAGCAGTTTAATAAACTTTTAACTGTATATATTACTGTACATATATGCACACATATGTATATGCACACATACGTGTGTGTACATGTAATATGTATGCACCGTTTCACATTAAAAGACAACAAACAGTCTATATAATAATGCCATTTACCTCTTTTACCAGATCAGTAGTACCAGGTCTGTATTAGGTGCTATATAAACACAGAATATGTATTGATTTGTTTTGGCTAGGCTTTCCTATTCCATTATGTTTGTCATTTCCTCCTGTTGGTGTTAATTACCATCATATAGTGGGAGATATTTCTGTAAAGGACTGGCTACAAAAAATCTAACACTGACAGTGGAAAAACTTTCTGAAATAAAAATTAGGATGTTAAAAGAATAGTATACTGTTTACAGAACTAGTTATTTGGTTTTTTTCTAGTTATATCAGGCTTCATTTGTCTGCTTAAACTGTAAAGTTATGCTATCCATTCATGTGGCTTACATGTCAGGTATGTATCCTATATATTGATAAATGTTGTACACACATATTTATATATGCATGTATTTTCTTAAGTTTCCCTCCCCAGAGTGGGATACAGTGACTCCAGAAGCCAAAGACCTTATCAACAAAATGCTCACTATCAACCCTGCCAAACGTATCACAGCATCAGAGGCACTGAAGCATCCTTGGATCTGTGTAAGTAGTTTTCAGTTAAGCAACAAAACACTATTACATGCAGATTAGCTTACAGCCTTCTTCAAAATCTAGTGCACAACTCCAGAAGGTTAATTATTATTATTTTCTTTTTGCAATGTGCTTTGGTTGGAAAGGAATTAAATAGAAGAAGTAAAACTGTAATTATACAGACAGTCTGCAGTTTTCTAACTCTGGAAATAGTTATCCTTACTGAGGCCCCAACCACAGAAACTGCTTAATACAAACAGACCTGCATTGACTTCACTAGGTCTCTCTGTTCTGGCAGGAGTCCACTATGTAAAGTAGACTGCAGGATCAGGACCTTTAAGACATCTTTTTTTGTGCAAGTGTCTTAGGGATAGGGTATGGAGCAGTAACAACAATAATTTTCAGTTATGTTTACATCCTCAGAATAAATAATCATCAACATGCCCCAGTCAGATAAGTAAATGTTACTAACCCAATTTTGCTATACTGAAACTCATAAAGAAGTTGAGAGATTTGCCTTAAAACTGCTATGCAGGTAACTCAGATAGAGACAGTCAGATATTTCTTTGGTTCCAAGCCCGTTATTCATTCCTCTTTCGTCCTGTGTCTTGCACAATACTGCTAAGGTTAAATAAAATTAAGTTTTTTAATACCATTTTATAGGATAGTATAACTCAAAATGAAAATACTGTATTGAATTTTGTTGGGCTTTTTTATGTTTACATGTGGTCAAAATCCCGAAGCCTTTGTTTTCACTCAGGTCAAAACCTCACTGAGTTGAGTTGCATTTTAACATGGGTTCCATTCTTCACCAGATTGCACTGGCATAGTGCTCTGCATGCATGTAATGTTTTGGCAGTGTTCCCAGGCACATAGTAATCCATGGCAGCCCATGCCCACCCCCCCACCACACACACAGATCTGGGGGGCATGTGTCTGCCCTACCCCCTGGGAGTGCGTGCAGTGGCAGGAAGCTAGCCCCACCCCACTCTGCCCCGTGGATGAGTCCCCATGGTCCCATCCCACTCCCCACCGGGGCCCTGCAGCCACACATTGCAGCCCTGGGCCCCAAACCCCACACACCACCTGGCTGGGCAGCAACCCCATCCCATGTAAATGAATACCATAGTAAGATAGGAACCTGAAACCTATGAATTTGGTCCATAAATACATATAATAAATACAGTGCTGTATAAATGATTATATATACTGAAAATTCTGTTCTCTTCTTCTCCCTCAGCAACGTTCTACTGTTGCCTCAATGATGCACAGACAGGAGACTGTAGATTGCTTGAAGAAATTCAACGCAAGAAGAAAATTAAAGGTAAGGGGGAAAAAACTGCAGATGTATTTTAGTAACAAGTAATTTTTGAAAGATCAAAGGCTAGGTTGTCATGTACTCCATACACAGGATAAACTTTCCTTGAAGGGTTTTATAGTGTATATCCTGTGAATTCTTCAAAGTGACGCTGTTTAAACAAACGTCAGGAGTTTAGATATTTAATAAATATGTTGTGGGAAACAGTACATCAATACATGGAACTGTGCCACAGTGCACAATAAATTGTATGAAGTTGGACTGCATGTACACATGCATTCCCAAGAGCATTTTTACTGCATTGCAAAATGTTAGCTTTTAAGAAATCTATATGCTCAAGCTGAGGCACATTTTGTATAAATATTACTTATTAACTGCTGGGAATTAAGGATGATAGCAGTGGTAGTGCTTCATTAAAAAACTTACAGGTATTTCTGCCTTGATCAAAGTAGTCCTCCCGACGCTCCGCCGCCACTACCGTTAGTCTGCAATGGGACCCACCTCTAAAGGTGACTGTGGTGTCCCATAGTGACTACACTAATCCTGTTATTAACCCAGTCTTCCCAGGGTACTGCCTTACACTGCCTGTCACACTTTGTTGAAAAATAAATACGAATTTGGAAGGTTGCCCTCAGAATAACAGCAGAAGCTTTAGGATGCTTCATTCTCTCCTGCTCATCATCAGGCTGCCTTGGTCTGGTCCAGTTTTTCAACTCAATCCCCTGAGCTGGGTGTCTCTCACTCAGTCTTAGCCAGCTTGCCTTTTAAATGGGGCATACTCTCTTCCCTGCACCCCTAACTGGCTGCACATCTCTTGAGTTTTCTCTCTGGTGCCCCCAGCTGGTTGCCCTTCTCTGGAGCTTGCTTTCTCTCTCTAGCTCCCCTGCCTCCCCACCATCCTGGCAGTCTGTCTCTGGGCTCTAAGCAAGCTAATCATACACACAGTGCCTTTTTCAGGCATTCACAGTGGCCCCTGTATTCCCCTTCAGGTGCTTCCATGCCTCATGGCTACATAAACTTCAAGACATAAACTCCTTTTCTCCATAAGACCCCTGCAGAGCTCCTTATCCCTTCCAGAGATGAGCCAAATTGCCCTCTCCAATCCAAGAGCCAGGCTTATATTGCCCAGAGGCCCACACCTTCCAGTCACATGATCTCTGGTTTTCTCCGCCAAATGCAAGGGTTTCTAATTGGCCTCATCACCAAGCTTATTGCTCTACATCCAGTCTCCCTGCAGGCTGCCCTCTGCACTTTCCTGCAGCCACTTATCTCTACTGCTTTTCTCTCTGGTATGTAGGCAAAACTCATCTCAAGCAGATGAAGTAAAAATCAGTGTCATATTCTCAGATGATGCTTTATATGCTCATGAGCATACATGGATTTGTGCACTATTATATTCTAACAACTCAGTAATGATTGGGGATATTATGTATTTTTATTTCTTCATTCACAGGTACTGCATTTGTTATACATAATGCATACAAAATTCATTCTTCCTGAGAAACTCAGTAATTAAATGATGTCTAATTATAAAGATTTCCTTTTTGTTCCAGCACGCATAGAGCTATGCAGAAATAACATTAATGTAAGCCAATATCTGTTTTTACAGGGAGCCATTTTGACAACCATGCTGGCTACCAGAAATTTTTCAGGTATGATTATTGAACTCCAAATCTGTGTGTTCTGCACATTTTGGTGTGTGCTTAAAGCAACTAGGATATAATTAGAATTAGTTTAGTACTGTGGTATATTTAAAGCATAGTTTATTTAAGTTGCTTCATTTTTCAGAGGTAGGAGCAAAAAATATCTCAACTGCTGCCGGGCTCAATGGAGCCTTTTATAGCTGATGACACTTAATAAAATATTTTAGTGTAATTTGTTTGTAAACCTATTGAAAAAGAGGTAAAGCATCATTTATAGTCTTAGCTTTTTAATCCTTGCAAAGGACAAACTAAATTATGATACTTGTGCAAGTTTAAATGTGGTCAAGGAGTGCGTAAAAATGAAGTTATGCATTATAGGTGTGTAAAATGCAGAACTGAAATAAATCAGTCTCTTTTGGTTCAAGAGGAGATCAGGAGAGTGCTCTTGGCAACAATGCCCAGCCCAGGACCTCATGATTAGATCACTTTGCTAGGAAGAAAGAAACACAATAAACTTGTCTGAGTGAGGGGGGAGTAGAACCCAGATCTCCTACCCTTTCCAATAAGCTCTTTGGCTAAGTATTGGGAAGGTAGCCCTCCTCCTCTGTTACATTATCTCTGGCAGGTATGCCACACATGCTTTTCTACAGGTGGAAGTAGAATCCAAACTATGCATAGGGCTAGGAAAGGACATTGTATCTGAAACTGGACAAGTTATGCCTGTGTTTGTCTTGAAACCAAGAAAGTTAAAATAATATCAACAATGCCCTGTAGCTGCTTGGCTCTCTGCCTCTCCAGTGGCTCCCCACTTACCTGCCCCGCCCTCTCCCCGTGCTTCCCCAGCGGCTCCCCACTCGCCTGCTTCCCTCATCCCACACCCACTGCCTGGCTCTCTGTCAATGCAGGGCAGTAGAGCTCCAGATGATAGATCATATGATGGGGCAGGAGGGCCAGAAATCTGGGACCAGTGCATCCTGAGATACTGAAGGACCACAAATTGCTGGTATTGGTCCTGGGGAGTCCACTGACATTACTGCAACACAAACTACCTAACACCAGCTAGAGGTAATCCTCACCTGAGGAGACATATCCTTGAGATGCTCAGAGGGCACTTAGCTTGTCTTTTCCTACCTTGATGTATGGATGCTCCCCTCTTAACAGCATTTGACATGTGGGAATGCAAATGTTTAACAATACCTTTACCACCAGGGATCCTGGTTTTCCCTGATAAAAAAAATCACAAATTCTCTGATAAAAACCTCAAAATCTGTGATTAAAATGAAAAGCCCCCTTACTCCCCCCCTACAGTTTCCTTAGCCCTGCTGGTGCCCCTCACTCCTTCCCCTGCTACCCCATACCCCCCAATAGCCTCCTGGCCCTGCTTATGCCCCTCATTCCCCCCCACAGCCCTCTGGCCCTACTCATGCCCCTCACTCCTCCATCCACAGCCCCCCAGCCCTGCTGGTGCCCCTGGCCCCCATCCACAGCCCTCTTCCCCACCCCCAGGCCTGCCAGAGGGAGCACCCAGCTGCCAGGGCTATGGGGGCCAGGAGGTGGCAGCTGCTGCATCAGTGGAGCCCAGCTCCCCTCCTGCTGCCTGCCCGCTGTAAGCTTGGACCAGCTCCCTACCGCTGCATGAACTCACATGGGGGACCTGTGCCCCACAGATCTGTGCATGGGGTCGGGGCAGGTATGGGCTGCCTGCTGCAGCATCAGGCTCCCCGACCTGCTGCCCTCCCCCGGGGCCTCTGCAGCTCAGCGGGTGCGACCTGGCATTACAGGGAATAGCGGGGCCACACGAGGAAACTCGTTGCTGCTGCATGCTCTGCACTACCCTGGTGATGCATCCTCTGCCAATACAACAGCAGCAAAGGGCACAACCCCGTGTTGCTGCCCTTGTGCACAGGGGACGCCTCACCTGGGCAGTGCGGAGCTCACAGCAGCAAGCAGCTTCCCCGCGTAGCCCCACTGTGCCGTACAGCGCCAAGTCGCACCCGCTGGACTGTGGAGGTCCCAGGGGAGGGCAGCAGAGTGGGGAGCCTGCAGCAGGCAGCCCGTGCCTGCCTCCCCACCACACACTCAGATCTGTGGGTCATGGGTCCCCCCCCGCCCCCTGGGAGTGCGTGCTGTGGCAGGAAGCCGGCCCCACCCCACTTCACCCCCTGGATGAGCCCCTGTGGCCCCATCCCGCTCCCTGCTAGGGCCCTGCAGCCACACATTGCAGCCCCAGGTCCCAAGCCCCCCACACCACCCAGCTGAGCAGCAGCCCCAACCCCAGCCCTGCCCAACTCCCTCCCTGCCTCCCTCCCTATGGGGGCCTCAATTTCCCTCCCCCCCACTTACCTGTGGGAGTGGCTCTCCAGGCTGCTTGGCAGCCATGTGCATGTATGCACAGGGCACCCCCTGCCTAACTGCCCTCTTCCCACTCCCTGCCAACCCCTTGCAGGCTGGAACTCTGCCAGCCTGCAGAGAGCTCTTTGCAAAACTGCAAAATATGTGGGTTTTTCCGTTAAAATGAGGAATCCATGTTTTCTTCAGGTAGAGGGGGAAATCCTTTTTTTTTTGTTTCCGTGGGAAATGAAAAACCCAGATCCCTGCTTATCACCATGTATCATTTGGTGTACTTTGTGTTTCAATTCTTCTGTGGGAGAAGAGTTTTCTGAATCTCCTGTTGCAATCTCAGTATCAGAGGTCAGTTTTGTCAAGGGACCTCTACTTTAAATGTATGCTGATGATGCAGATCAGACTTCACAAGTGACTAGAGAGCAGGAAGTTCATAAGTGAGATCACGCATCAGTAACTTTAAAGAATCTTATATTCCGTAAAGAATTCTATTGTAGTATAACATATATTGATTTAAAGATGAAATTGCTACAGTCTGTTGGCCTAGTTTTGAATGATGATAAACATTGAACTAAAACATAATAAAAAACTAAAGTTACAACGTGATGAATGTGAGTCTAATTTGTCCAATGTAATTAGTGTTAAGAATATGCATTTCCTTGGTTGTGGGGTTTCCACATTTAAATGAAAGTTTAATTTTTAAGGCCACCTTTTTTTTAAATCTATTTGGGTACCATTTAATAAGTTATCTGTGACTTTCAACTTGAGGAGTTGAGTGGAGAGGCTGCAAGCATCTTTCAAAGCTGCATCATTTTAAATTATAAGACATATTTATCATTTCTAATCATTTTCATTAGTCATTGTTGTCTGTCTATTCCAGTCCAATGTTGAAGTTCCTAAAGGAAAAAAAACATGATGTAATTTTAAAATACTGTTTCTCAATGTCTTGGCATGGAGTGCAGAGATTTTTTTTTTATCTGTCACTTGACTGGTTAATTTACGACAGCTTCAACATCCTACATTTGAGATGACATTTTAATGTTTTATTTGTTTATTCATTGCATTTCATTGCAAAACATACATTTTAAGGTTGTGTCCATAAAAATGTGTTTATAAATGTGTTTTATTTTCCTTTTCTTTCTTCCTTTTATGTGGAATGTGTGTTTCTTGTGAGGTAAGACACTCAGCACCTAAAAGGAACATCTTTATGCATCTCCTGAGCAAAACTGCTATCTGCCCTGAACCAATCTAAGCTCTGCATGATATCATAACTTAATTTTGTCTCAGTTTGCTTTCTAGCTTATTAGCACTGCCTTAGGATTTAATAACTGTTGCTCTTCAGTTGCAGGAAATCAGCATAGTTCAATCTTTCATTGTTAGTTTAATTTAGAATATGCTAATTGCTTTGCTGCTGTAGAATTTTTAATAGTTGATTCACGTACAGTGTCTTTGCTTACACAGAAGTGCATTGAAATACTATTAAAATAAATCCCAAGCTGATGACAAATGAAGAAATACATAGCTAAAACTAACAGTTCTTGGAACTGCTGTCTGAATATCACAGAATACAGAGTAGAAAGGCTTATTCTACCCTTGTTCTGGCCATGTAATTCCTGTCAAAATAGTCTGAAATATGTTTCATAGCATGAAATATTACACACTAATGCCATATCAAACACTTTTCTAATGACATATCTGCTTACATACCGGCAATATCAGAGGTACTGTCTGGTTCTTCTGTGTCCTGTGGTCCATAGGGTTAGGATGGTTGAGGCATGCTAGCTTTGGTAGTCAACAGCACACATAAGGAGTGATATTGCTAGCATTATGTCTTTTGGCTCCCAAGTCTGATTGTCCATTTAATCAGTTGTGGCCACTAACATATGCCTGAAACAAGACTTGAACTCAAGCCATGGAGTTGTAGTAAAGCACATGAACAGTTTTTCTACAATGCTACTAGAATCGCAGTGTCTTGAGCGATTCCTATTACTGCTTTCATTTTGACTTTGTTCATGTTTGAAGTTTTAAGATTTTAAATATAAAAGGCAACTCCCTGTTACGAATAATCAACTTGAAAGAATTCATAAAAAAATATAACTACTTCCTGCTAAAAAAATTTAAAGACTCAATGCTGCTGTAATAAAGCAGAGTCTGAATGTCACGATGGGGGATCAAGGCCCAATTATACCAAGCGCAGTGAACACATGTAACAAATAGGCCGTGACTAACCTGAAAAGCTTAAGCAACGCAGCAGCTTATTTTTAAATGTAATTTGGTCTTTATGTAAGTTATGCTTTTATAACACGTGAAAAATATGCTTCAATACTGTTTCATAGAAGAGATGAAGGTATTTTTTTGTCAGTGTAAGCTTGAAGCAGACTTTTGTGAATGAAGTTTAGAATGGGCCAGTGTCACTGTCTTACTGGTGGTATGAGCTAATCTAATATCACAACTAATAAAATCTATGTTGTGGAGTGATAGACATTCTCTAGAATATAAAAGCTAACCTCAACTTCAGTTAAAGTTCCAATACTGTTTTTTTAATGAAGATCAGTTCTTTTTCATCCAGTTTCTATGGCAATGTACAGTAGAACCACACCAATATGAACAGTGGACCCTGGCAGCAGGTGGATAGGAGACAGACACAGAAAAGAAGTCAAAGCAAAGCTGCAACTAACCAAAGGAAAGATGGATTAAATAGTATCCAACAAATTACATGGCTACAGGGAAGAATAAGATCTCCAAATGTCAATCAAATTATATTTTTTCCATGCAGCTGCAATTGTTGTAATATTTCCTTATGCAGAGGAAAAAAGGTCTGGATGAAGAGTGCTTTGTGCTGTGCTGTTTTTTCACCTAGAGTATATTTTTTTCACCTGGCCAAAAACACTGAGAGGCAAGCCCAGAACTTTCCAGCCAAATGACTTCCTGTTTTCCTCCTGTCCATTCACTTTTGTCTTTAGCAATTGTTTTTATAAAAGGGGAAATTGCCCACAAAATCCCCCTATATATTTATACTAAATTATATGTGCGTCTATGTATTTGTCTATAGATATGTGCATGTACACACACACACACACACACACACACACACACACACACATTTTTTTTATATACTGATATTATACTGAGGCTAAGCCACAGCCACTTAGGGATCAATTTGCTTTGCTGAGCACACAAACTACAGTAACATATGGGAGACATGGGGGCTAAACTAGATAACCCTCGAGGTCCCAATGACCTAGAGGTTATCTCCCAACCCACCTTTGAAGTCTCCAGGTTTTTTTCTTTGTCCTCCTCCTGGGTTTCCTGCT